ATTTGGGCGGCGTCGGCGGGCCTTCGCATACTAAACGAAGGCTCGGTGAGCACCTGCGTGCGTCCGCAGGGCGAATCCATCATTGACCTTACCTGGGTCAATGGCCCTGCGGCGCGCGCGGTGGGGGGCTGGAAGGTAGCGGAGGGGGTGGACACGGGGTCCGATCACCTGTACATTGAGGTGACCCTCTCCGCCATTCCCCCCGAGGTGCTCAGGCGCCGCCGAGAAAGGGAGCGAGGGCGGCCCGGCAAATGGGCCCTCCGGAAAATGGACGGAGACGCTCTGAAGGCGTCCATCACCGCGGCGGAGTGGGCTCGGGGGACGATCCCCCCCCCGGCCCATTCTGTCCCCGGAAGACGTGGAGGAAGAGGCGGAGGAACTCGGGGCAGATATGGAGAGGGCGTGTGACGCCTCCATGCCCCGAGTTCGCCCCACGCCCTTCAGGTCCGCATACTGGTGGACGGAGGAGATAGCCGAACTCAGGCGCTCCTCCGTCCAAGCTGGAAGATGGATGCAGCGGACCAGAAGGGCGGGGAACGTCGCCGAGGCGACGAGGGCGCGCAGGGCTTTCCGAGCCGCACGGAAAGCCCTGCGCGTAGCGATCAGGAAGGCCAAGACCAGGGCTTGGGAGGAATCGCTCAAGTCCCTGGACAAAGACCCTTGGGGGCGCCCGTATAGGATAGTCCTGCAAAGATTGAGACCCTGGGCGCCCCCGGTCACAGAGAGTCTTGAACCCCCACTCCTCGACAACGTGGTGGGGGCCCTCTTCCCGGATCAGGGGCCACCGCCCCTTCCATACGAGGGTCCCCCGCCGGAATGGAACGAGGAGAGGGAGGTGTCCAGGGACGAGCTGGTCCGGGCTGCCCGCCGGCTTGGCGGGGCGAGGAAAGCCCCCGGGCCGGACGGGGTCCCGGGCGGAGCGTGGGCCCTGGTCCTGGCCGATGTTGGGGCCCGCCTGAGACACCTTTTCACCGAATGCCTCAGGACGGGCACATTCCCCAGTCGGTGGAAAAGGGCGGGGCTGGTCCTCATACCAAAAGTGGGCCGACCCCTGGACGCCCCTTCCG